TGTGGGGTGGAGGGCGGTGGAGGACCAGCTTTGGAAGCACAAGCACCTACTATGTGCCAGGAGTTGTTCTAGGCCAGGGATGGCGAACCTTTTGAGCTCGGCGTTTCAGCATTTTGAAAAACCCTAACTTAACTCTGGTGCCGTGTCACATATAGAAATTTTTTGATATTTGCAACCATAGTAAAACAAAGATGTATATTTTTGATATTTATTTTATATAATTAAATGCCATTTAACAAAGAAAAATCAACCAAAAAAATGAGTTCACGTGTCCCCTCTGACACGCGTGTCATAGGTTTGCCATCACTGTTCTAGGCCCTGGGAATACAAAGGGGAATCAAATAGACTAACACCCCTGCCCTCCAGGAGCTTTTATTCCAATGGAGGAAAATGAAAGGAAACAAGTAAAATATATAGTTTGGTGGTAAAAGTAAAGAGACATAAACTGGGGCAGGACAGGGAATAGTAGGCGATTTGAGAGGTCAGGGGAGTCCTCATCGAAGAGAGACATTTGAGCAAAGGAAGCATGGGCTGAGCTTCACCAGTGAAGGGAACATCAGGTGCAAAGGCCCTGGGGTGAGGACATGGTAATGTGGTTGGGGGGGGGAGTGAGCAGCAGGTGATGAGGTTGGAGAGGAGGGGGGTGGTACAGATGGTACAGGGAAAGGGAGTTCTATTTGACATTACTGAGTGAGGTGGAAAAGAGGAGAGGATTTTTTTAAATTAAGATAAAATTCATACAACATAAATCTGACCATTTAAAGTGTGTAACTCAGTGTTCTTTGGCATATTCACTATGTTGTACAAACATCACCTGATTCCAGAACATTTCCATCACCCAAAGGAAACCCCATAACCATTCCCTGTTTCCGCTTCCTCGCGTCCCTTGGGGGAGACAACCAGCAATACACTTCCTGTCTGTGGCTTTGCCCCTTCGGACATTCACATCAAAGGAATCCTGTCCCAGTGGCTTTTGTGTCTGGCTGCCTTCACGCGGCGTGTTTTCCAGGCTTGTCCGTGTTGTGGCGTGTAGCAGGACCTCGCTCCTTTCTGCGGCCGAATACTTTTCCACCGCGTGGATGGAACGCGTTTTCTTTGTCCGTTCATCAGTTGATGGGCGGGAGTTGTTTCCACTTTTTGGCTGTTAAGAACAGGTCCATGTTTTTGTAACAGCCTATGTTTTGGGGGAGCTTGGCTATCCTCTGGGATGTATTGCTGGGTCAGAGGGCACCTCTATGTTTAGCCTTTTGAGGAACTAACTGCCAGACGGTTTCCAAAGCTGCTGCACAAATTCACCCGCCAGCAGGGGTCTGAGCGGGGTCCCGGCGCTCCGCATCCCGCCAACACGTCCTGTTTTCCATTGGGGTTGTAGCCACCCTAGCAGCTGCGAAAGGGCAGGTGGAAGATTCTGAGCTGAGGAGACTTTGGGTTTAACGGGATCTTTCAGGGGAGCAGATTGAAGGGGAGCAGGAGGGGAAGCAGGGGACCAGTGAGCAGACTACTGCACTAGTCCCAGCAAGAGAGGACAGTACCTTGTGCCAGGGTGGTGGCGAGGGAGATGGGGAGAAGCGGTCGGATTTGGGATACATTTTTTAAGGAAGAACCGAGAGGATTTGTGTGTAGATTGGATGGGATGAGGGGAGAGAAAGGAAGATGAGCCAAGGGTGCCCCCAGTTATCTGAGCAACTGGACAGTGGCGTTTCCACTTGTTGAGTTAGAGAAGACCGTAGGTGGAGGGTCTTCTTGTGTCTGTGCGTGTTGTTGTTTTTTTATGCCAGTCACTTGGTAGGCAGGAGCCAGCCCCTTTTCGTGTGTGTGTGTGTGTGTGTGTGTGTGTGTGTGTGTGTGTGTGTTTTGTTGCCAACCCAGCTGGGAAGTTTCGATTGGCACTTTGGGAGGAGGGGGGTGCGGAAGAAGAAAGCAAATGCTATGCTTCACACATGTTAAAATAAGTGTCCACTGGCCGTGCCCTGAATGTTACTAAAAGTGAGCCATTTGCGTCCTTCCCCTCGGAGCAGGACAATGTGTGCCCGGGGAGCTACAAAGGACGGCGAGGGCATTCATCCTGATTATGGGCCGCTTCAAAGGGTGTGTGGGCTGCAGCCTGCAGGACTCTGGTTTCTGAGGCCACTTAGGGGATTATCTGGAGAGAAAATGGTCCCGAGAATGATTTGTGGGCCGGTGGGGTGCTAATTCTGAGCTCCTTCCTGTGTGTTGGGAACGTCTTGGGGCTTGTTCCTCCCTTAGCCCACCGGACAGTCAGCAAACACTTTCTGGGCTGCCTCCTGCTTTGGGGCACCGCCCTAAGCGCCAGGAGGCGGGCGGGGAGACGATAGCTGACAGGTAGCAATAAGGGGACCCATTTCCCTCTCCCCCAGGAGCATCCTGGTGGCTAGACGTCAGCTCTGGAGTCAGTGCTGGGGGGGGGGCGGGGGGGGGCAAAACTGGCTTCCGCACTTATGAGCTGTGTGACCGTGAGCAAGTGACTTAAGCTTTCTGGTCCTTTGTTTCTCAGTCCAGAAGAGGGGGGAATTCCAGCACCTGCTGTATCGAGTTCTCCTGAGGCTCAAATGAGATGATCCACTTATGGTGATTGGCCCTTGCTTTTGCAATCCAGTGAGAGAGAGACAGAAAGCAGCCACTTACACACCTACTGTGTGCGGGCTCTCTGTTAAATTCAGCCACCTTTATTGTCAGGTTAGCTTCCTACCAGCCCTGCCCAGCCGAGGCTCCTGGCACAGGGGAGCCAACCAAAATGTAGAAGTCAAACCCTTGGATCAAGGTCGCACGGCTGGCAAAAGAGGAGATGGGATTTGAACCCAGGACCGACTAACTTCCTTCTGCACCTACCGGCACAGGTTGAGATGCGCTTCCCCTGAGCAGGGCTTCAGGCTCATTGGGAAGGAGGCAGCGGTCCAGCCGGGGCGGGTCTGCGTTGTCTACACCCATGCTCCGCGGGGGGTCTCAGCACCCCCCTGTGCCCCTCTGTGCCCGCCCCCACCTCTCCCTCTTCTCTGCATCAGGAGGAACAGCCCACCTTCTTTCTCCCTTAGCACCTTCAAGGCATTTTACCTTGAATTTCACTTCCGGGGAGAACGTCCTGTGTGTCTCCCAGCCTCCCTCCATGAGGTCGCCCTCCCTGACAGCCTCCCCCGGCAGGCACAGAAATAGTCCCAGCTGTGAGATGAAGGCTCCAGAGTTTAAAATTGCAGCGGGGCACTATTTATACTCCAGCCGGAAGGAGGGCTTTTTGCAGTCGTTTACTTTGTGGTGGTGGCGACAGCTCGCGCTGCAAGCAGCCGGCTCTGGCACTAAGCAGTTCCCAGGGCACGTGGGTGGTGAGGAGCCTTCAGGTGTGGGGGGCGGTCCCAGGCCTGCCCAGAGATGTCTGCTGTCACCTCCCTGAGCAGCGTGATTGGCCTGGTGAGCCAGAGAAAGAGGTTCAGGGTCTAGAAGTGTCTTCCTAGATGCCTGGAAATTAAAAAAAAAATACACACAAAAACCTCACATATTTTATAAGCCTTGAGAGTTGCACATACCTGAGAGGAAAAGGGTCAAACTAATTTCTGCACAAGTGATGAAAGCAGGGCTTATAAACTGGCCGACCCATTCACATTCCTGTTGAGCTTGGCCCGTGGAGCGTTAGAAAAAAATGTATCTTTTTTGAATTTGTGCCACTACTTAAAAATTGGGACATTTCTCATGAAGTGAGAACTCTGGCCTCTCTTGGAAAATGAAAGGGGTCTGGCACCTTCGAGATCAGCCCGGGGCCCAGGGGCGTGTCACTCAGTCACGGTCACGTCACTGCCTGGCCCTGGTACCTGGAGCTGGGACCCTTCAAATTACGTAAAACCTTCTTTCCAGTCTCCCTCTTCACTCCCCCCAACCCCTGCTCTCCTGGGCTGATGACAGGGTTCCCAAAGAAACAATAGGGCGCCCAGTTAAAGCTGAATTGCAGACAATGAATAACATTGTAGTGAGAGTCCGTCCCGGCTGGTCGCAGTTGGTAGATATCACTGCGGGCCTGTGTCTGTTCACACACACGTCGTGGTGTCGTCCCAGGCTGGGCTTACAGTCTTCATCTCCTGCGGCTCACGCTTCCTCTCTGCAGGCATGTCTCGGGTTTATCAGAGCCGGCTTTGAGGCTGTGGGCTCAAACCTACATGAGAATCCCGGCCCTGCCACTGGCTAGCTGTGTGTCCTTGAGCAGGTGTCCTCACCTCTCTGGGCCTCAGTTTCCTCGCCTGAACAACGGGGATCTTAAGGGTACCTTTGTTACTTCCTGTTGGTATTTATTTCATGTCTTTTGAAAGCTGCATAGAGCCCTGGCCGGTTTGGCTCAGTGGATAGAGCGTCAGCCTGCGGACTCAAGGGTCCCAGGTTCGATTCCAGTCAAGGGCATGTACCTTGGTTGCGGGCACATCCCCAGTAGGAGGTGTGCAGGAGGCAGCTGATCGATGTTTCTCTCTGATCGATGTTTCTAACTCTATCCCTCTCTTTCCTCTCTGTAAAACATCAATAAAATATATTAAAGAAAAAAAAAGAACACTGCATAGAGTGGACGTGCCATGGCGGCTTTGCCCAGTCCTCAAGCATCAGGAATGTGGCCAGATTATCCCTGTTTCCGATGAGGCTAGGAGAGGTTTTGCAAAGGAAAAGTAGGTCTGGAGCAGGGGTTCTCAGCCTCGGCTGCACATGAGAATCACCTGGGAATCTTTTTAAAATCCTGATTTCCGGGCCTCACCCTCCGGAAATTCTGTTTCTTTGTTATGGGGTGGGGCCACAACATTAGTAACAAAGAAACAGAATTTCCGGAGGATGGGGCCCAGAAATCAGGATTTTAAAAAGATTCCCGGTGATTCTCATGTGCAGCCCAGGCTGAGAACCACGGTCTAGAGGGAAGTGGGCAGATGACTAACATGCAGTTTGCTCTTCTTAAAAATGAAGGGCACTTGTCTCCCTGGAAACCATTTGCTAACCTCCGGGATATTGTCCTCCAGGCAAAGGAGGTGGAGGAGACCATCGAGGGGATGCTCCTGCGGCTGGAGGAGTTCTGCAGCCTGGCCAACATGGTGAGTGCCGCCCGCCGGAGCCGTGGTTTCCGCAGGCCACACGCCAGGCCCTGCCTGAGTTTGCTGGGGAAGCCATTTGGGTGGAGATTTAGCAACCAGCAGGAGTGGGGCCTCGGCCAGCGGTGATGGGAAAACCCCATGCACTCGCTCTCCCCCTCCACACCCAGGCTTCCCGGCTGGCCGGCCATCTTGCTGCGTCCTCCCCGAAGGTTTTATTCCTCAGAGGAGCGGGAGCGGGCCACCAGGTGGCACTCTCGGCGCCGCAGCGAGCCCTGCGGGATGCTGAGACTATATTTAACTTCCCTCACTCTGCGCAGTTCCCCGGGCAGATGTGGAGTCACCAGGAAGCGCCTCAGGCCGGTGAGGCCTGGCAGGGCTGGGCCTGGGCATCGCCTCCTTCCCGAACCCTCTTGCCTCCACCTTTGCCTCCCACCCTAGTTTTTTGGGTCAAATCCCCTCAGTTGGGTGGGGAAGAACATGGAAGATGGTGCCTGAGGCCCAGAAGACAAGATCTCCACTCCCTATTCTCCAGCAGTCTCCTCTGGATCCTGGTGTCCCCAGGCTTGCTGCCAGCCAGGCATGAGGCCCCAAGGAGCCATGATAGACCGTTCTGGAAATTCCCAAGCTTATTAAAGGCAAACCGGCAACCAGAGATGTAGGCGTCTGCCTGGGAGCCGGGAGGGCAGAGCTCCATGCTGTGGCCTGGCCCTGCCTCTCCCGGGAGCCGGAGCCCAGCCGGCTGTGGTGTAGACTGTGCCTGGGAAGCCAGGGCTGCAGCGGAGTCTGGGAGCCCAGGGGTCGCAGTACAGCAGCCCCAGATGTTTACTGCACATCTGCTTTGTGCCAGGCACTCCAGGAAGTGTGTCTCCTGTGTGACCTCGTCTCCCCGAGAAGCAACCCAACGTGATGGGCACCGTGTCAGCCCATTCATTCTCCAGACCTCCCTGTGCCCCCCTGGACACGGCAGTGAACAGACAGACGGTCCCACGAGGACCTGTGTGTGTCTCTCGAGCCGATATTTCAGTTCAGGTGGTGGCTCGGGTGGGAGCTGGGTAATCAGACAGACTTCACGTGGCCTCTCAGTCAGTCCTTTCTTCCTCCCCAAATATGGACGCCTTCCCCGGCCGGGCCCTGTGTGGGTCCGAGGGTGCAGGGTCCCCGTGCTGCCCCTGAGCACGGTCCGCTGGGAGGGCGCTGTGTGTTCCAGTTGCTGTCGTTCACGGTGGAAATGCTGTCATCGCCATGTGCGCAGGGGCAGAGGGAGGCTGCAGAGGTTTTGAAGAGAGAAAGCGGGTCCAGAAGGAACGGGCACGTATCCTAAGACTTGGTTTCCTTAAAAAAAAAAAAAAAAAAAGAGCAGAAGCATTAAATTCTGCCTGGGAAATTGGGAAGGCTTCGTAGAAGACACGGTGATTAACTGGGGGGTTGGAGACGCAACAGAAAGAATTCAACTGCTAAGGAGAGCGGGGGCAGGCAGGCATGCCAGGCGCAGCGCGGACAGTGAGGGCCCCCGGCGAGGGGCGGACGTGGAAGATGGCGTGGACGGGACCCAAGGACATGGCTGCTGACAGGTCCTAGCCCGTCCTCCTGTGAAAGGAGCCCCCTGTGGGTCCAGGACAGCTGGGGCAGGGAGTCAGTGTGGACAGGCCACGCCTGCCTTGAAAACTGCCAAGGCTGTTGGGGGAAGTCGTGGTTAGGTGACCAGGAGGCCCAAGGCCGCAGGCTGCATCGAGAAGGTCCTCTCTGAGCTCCGCGTCTGGAGCTGCATCCCTGCGAAGATTTAACACTGAGGTCGCACACAGGTGACCCACAGGCCAGTCCTGCCTGCAGATATGTTTTGGGGGGAAGGAAGTCGCTGCTGTCATTTATAGAATGTCATGCCCCAAATCTGGATTCCTGGCTTCTTAGAAAAGCAGAGATCTGGCCCCCGATGGGTGCTGGTTCCCACCCAGCCAGCATCAGCTGGAGCTGCACAGTGGCTGCACCCCTGGCCTGGCCACTGACCCCCTGCCCCCGTGGTAGCTTCCCTGGCTCCATGGCCACATGCCGGACACCCATCCTCTGCTGTGTTTGAGGCAGGAACGTTTCTCTGTACTCTGGGCCCTACTGAAGCGGGCAAATACAACCCGACCAAGAGGCCCCTGTTTCAAGAAATGGGAGAGGGTGTACTTCTGTGGACATGAAAACTATTTCAGCGTGTTTACGTGCAATGAGCATGTCTGCACTGATAGAACGCGCCTAGTACGCACTCTTGTGGCCCCTGTGGGCGTTTTGAGTTTGCAGTGCTTTCACTGATGCTCTGTGCTGATGCTGTTTAGATCGGGGGGTCCTCTGGGCCCCAACAGCTGAGGCTTAGCTTACCTGGTGCGTCTGCCTCCAGGTGTTGTGAGCTCCACGGCACAGGGAGAGGTGTCCCGCTGTCAGCCCTGGCTCAGACCTCCACTCCCCTCTTGATCTAAGCTAGGGATGCGTGGGGACCTCTGGGGGCAGGTGATGTCACACCATGGACCACGGTCCGGGTCCCTGCCTTGGCTTTTGGAAACACTGATCAAGTTAGAGGTCTGAGAGAAGCCAGGCTCCCTGGTACACAGTCCAGAGAGAAGCGGCTTCATTTCTGATAAAATCAGGCTGTTAGAAATGAGCCCGGCTTCCTGTCTGGCGCATTAACTCCTCTGCCGGCCTGTCCCCGATCGCTCTCTGTGGCTGGGATTCACTACCCTGTGCCTGTGGCCTGTTTGACCTTAGAAATAGTGCCACGCAAGCTCTGAGTCTCCCCGCTGTGGGGCCTTGGGCACAGCACGTCACCTCTCTGTGCCTTTATTATCTCCTCTGTGAAATGGAGAGAGTGGTCCCGACGATCTGCTACATCCAGCGACCCCAGGACGTGGGGCTGTGAAACGGCAGCCCATGTGTGATGTGGGCCAAGGCAGGGCACGGAAGGGCGGCTTGTGTGAGCCCCATGGCGCCTGCTGCCCGGGGCTGTCCACGGTGGCTCTTCTCGCACTTGTCCATGTCTGGCACGGGAGGCGGGGAGCTGGGGCCTGTCAGGCATGCTGGTCCTTTGTGCAGCCCCCCACATGTTGAGCTTGGGCTGCCTCGTGGCATGGCGGTGTGGCCCCCAGAGCGAGCCCGCCAGCAGCCTGGAAGCAGAAGGTGCCGGGCTCCGGAGGCTTGCATATGGAAATCAACACGGGGCATGGCCGTCATTTTTTTTTTTTTTTTTTTTTTTGTCAAATCAGTCACATAAGTGACCCAGATCCACTGGGAGAGGACACTTTGGTAGACGCCCCCTCATCCTGGAAGGACATAAAGAACTTGTAGGCATGTTTAGCCAGTAACAGTGTCCATTTCCAAAGAGTTCTCATAAGAAATAGGTGAGGCAGGGATGTATGCTTTCCATCCACTAGAGCAGTGGTTCTCAACCTTCCTAATGCCGCGACCCTTTAATACAGCTCCTCATGTTGTGGTGACCCCCCAACCATAAAATTATTTTCGTTGCTACTTCATAACTGTAATCTTGCTACTGTTATGAGTCGTAATGTAAATATCTGATATGCAGGATGTATTTTCATGGTTACAAATTGAACATAATTAAAGCATAGTGATTAATCACAAAAACAATATGTAATTATATGTGTTTTCCGATGGTCTTAGGCGACCCCTGTGAAAGGGTCATTCGACCCCCAAAGAGGTTGCGACCCACAGGTTGAGAACCGCTGCACTAGGGTGACCCCAATGAAAGGACAGACAATGGCAAGTGTGGAAAGGATGGGAGTTTAAAAGGGCACAGCCACTTTGGAAAATAGTTTGGCGATTTCTTATAAAGTCAAGCATATACTTACCCTACATTCCAGCGACTCTGACCCTAGATAATTGCCCAGGAGAAATGAAAACAAATGTCCAGGAAGGCTTGAACGCAGTGTGCATAGCAGCTTCGTTCACGACGCCCCGATGTCCAGCGGCAGTAGGAGCGGGAGGACAGATGATCTCATACAGAGCAAAGGGAGGGAGGGAGCGCTACCCACAATAGCACGGGGGGGCTCACAAACATGATGCTGAGCGAAAGAAGCCAACCACAAGAACACGCTCTATGTGGCTCCCCTCACGTGAAGTGCAGAAAGAGGCAGAACTAACGAATGGTGACGGGAGTCGGAGAGTGGTCAGCTTTGGGAAGGTGTCAGGCCCAGGAAGAGGCCTGACGGAGCCTCACGGGTGGAAGGGTGTTCTGTGGATTGGCGCACGTGGTGGTCACACGGATGTAAACACATGTGCGAGCTGATCGAGCTCTCCATTTGAGGCCTGGGCTCTGTATGTCATATGCGCCCAATTAAAAATAACTGCTTAGCACGGGGCCTGCTGTGAACCAAGTGAGCCACACACGGTAGCTGCCGAGGTCATCGTCGCCAGTAGCAAAGCACCAGAAGGTTGTGACCCTGACGAGATGATATAGACACTGGACAGTAGGGCCTTCCGCCTCGGTGTCCTCTGGGGTGGGGGCAGCTGGCCAGGGCCCTCTGACACCCCCGTGGCCTCAGGCCCACCTCCTGGCAGGGAGCAGACTCTGACTGCGCTCACATAATGGAGATTTCCTGTTGGCCTCGGCCCAGCAGTTGCATTTGGCATCGGTGCGTGTTCTTGGGTCAAGAGCATTTGACTCTCCTTCCTGGGGCCCTGAATCATCCTGGACAGCGGTCTCGGCTCCGTGATAACCCCACCTCCACTGCCCAGACGTCTGGGCTCCAGCGCTGAGCTCGGGAGGAGGGGGCTCAGCCAGTGAGCCTGCCTGGGGTCGTCCTGGCAGGGCCTGAAAAGCATTGCTTCCCCACTGACATCTCTTTGCTCAGGAACAAACAAAACAAGCAAACTCAGGTGCCTGGGACACAATGGTGTGTCACAGGGTGGCTGTGAGAAGAGAAACGTGTCGCTTCCCTTTGTCGCCCCTATAACAAGGAAAGGGCACAGGGTGTCCAGGGACGCCATGCTGGGGACACACTAGGGAG